AATCGATCGGTCCCCACATAATCCGTTATCTCGAATCCATTGTTTTCACAATATAGGTATGTCCATTTCATCATTTTAGAATATTGTACTTCTTCAAACTTGTAATGATACGAAATTTTATCATTTTTCTAGAAAAACGTTATTTTACGGAAAACATAAATGAAGTTTAGAATTTATGTTGGACCGGGATTGGTACCGGGATGGAATTTAGAACTGGGTTTGAGACCGAGATAGAAGGTAAACTCAAGCCCGGTCCTTCATGTCCAGATACGACCGGGACCGGGACCGAGATGGGGATAAAATTGGGTAGACCGGGATAGGGTTGGGACCGGGATAGGGATTGGGACCGGGACCGGGACCGAGACCGGGATACGGATTGTGACCAGGATAGGGACTGGGACCGAGACCGGGATAGGGACCGAGACCATGTAATATAAATCTTGAATTTTTCTTGTTTGTTTGTAAGTTTATTGATTTGTATTTAATTATAGTGTTTTGGTCTATTTGCAGGATGCCTCGTGTTTTTATATCATTCGGTGGAGAATGGAAAGATATTGAAAAGGATTACGTGGGTGGTCGTACAAGAGGATTGACTGTGGATAGTAAAATCACCTATGCTGAATTTCTAGGACATGTATGTAGGCTAAGTAGTATAAATCCATTACAAGAAGATATCATAATTAGACGTGTATATAATTTTAAGGTGAAAGTTTGTGTAATGGAAATAACTGACGACRATGACCTGACTTTCTTCTTGACTGGTGAAGATGTCTCTGAATTGCCGCTATACATATCTACCATGCCAAAGAAGGTACATCAGAATGAACCGTACATGYCTTCTTTCTCATATTATTTAGGCCAACACKTGTCCAATGTTCCTATTACCTCAGCTTGTGCCCCCCATTTGCGAGACCCTTATTTCCGAGACCCTCATTTTCAAGTCCGTCGGTTCCGTCCTCGTCGTCGAACCCCTCTTCTTCCCACCCTCCACCCCCTACTTTGGTCATATTAGTCCTGATATAGCATCTCTCACACCGTTAGGGTCAGATGTTGTTCCTTGTAATTTGGGAGATGATAGGGCATATGATTGGGATGTGCTTGAATTGTGGAATGGATGTGAAAATTTGGATGAAGATAGTGATGAATCATATCGTCCAATGACCGACATGGAAGAAGGAGACGACGAAGGGGAATATGGAAATGAGCACGCCAGTGATCGACTTGATGTGCAACATGAGCATGAAGAGGTAAGAATTCATGATACAATGGCTGAATATCCTGTAGATGCCGTCCATGAAACGACAAGCAATAGACTCACCGGTCAGTCAAAAGCTGATAGATTGCAAGCCATGGTCCAATCGGYTGGGACCAATGATGTTAAGAAGGGTGACGTATTCGACTCGAAGAAGGAACTAGTTATGAAAATGCATTTACTTGCATTGCGGAAGAACTTTCAGTTTCGAGTGAAGAAGTCTATGCCGGAACTATACTTGCTACGATGCGTCGATCCTACTTGCACGTGGCGACTTAAAGCCACTAAGATTAGAGATTGCAACCTGTTTAAGATAAAAAAATATATCGCAGTCCACTCTAAGTGCAATGGTGCCCTTATGAAACAGGATCATCGTTAGGCGAAGAGTTGGGTGGTCGGTCATCTAGTACAATCAAAGTTTACTGATGTTTCTCGCACGTACAGGCCGAAGGACATCATCCAAGATATTCGTGAGGAGTACGGTGTAAATATGAGTTATGACAAGGTCTGACGTTCGAGCGAAGAAGCACTCCGACTTATCAGAGGGGATCCATCTTCATCGTACGAGCTACTACCCACTTATGGGGAAGCCGTGAAAATCATGAACCCAGGTACTATATTTGAATTGGAGTTGGATGATAGCAAGTACTTCAAATATGTCTTTATGGCCATGGGTCAATCAATTAGAGGTTTTATGTGTTGCATTCGACCAGTTTTGGTTATTGACGGGGCACACCTTAAAAGGAAGTACGGAGGTGTATTACTATCTGCTTCTGYTGTTAATGCGAATAACCAAATATACCCAGTTGCGTTTGCAATAGTCGGGAGTGAGAGCGYCGCATCATGGGTATGGTTTATGACTCAATTGAAGAGTGTTGTCGACACCGTTCAGAATTTGGTCTTCATTTCTGATCGACATGCCAGCATTTGTAAAGCGATTGATGAGATATTTCCTACTGCATTTCATTGCTTTTGTATACATCATCTAAAGATGAACTTGCTGGCCAAATTTAAAACGCTTGCGCTGGAGGCATTATTTTTTAAGGCTGCGAAGGCATTTCGCGAGTCATATTTCAATGAGAACTGGGTCCAACTGTGCGCACACCCAGGAGTTAGGGAATATCTAGAAGCTATAGGAAAGGAACGATGAGCTCGCTGCTTTCAGACGAAACTAAGATACTCACAAATGACCACTAATATTGTAGAGTCCGTTAATGCCCTTTTCAGGCATGCACGTAAGTTGCCAGTCACCGCATTACTTGATCATATCAGAGGTGTGTTGCAGAGGTGGTTCTACGAACGTCGGACGCTTGCTTCTTCACGTCAGAGTACGTTGTCTGACTACGCAGAGGAAATGATTGCCGAAGCTTCGGATAATGCACGGAGACACATTGTTATGAACATCGACCAGTTTAATTTTGAGGTACGCGACGGGAACCTCAATGAGGACGTTGACTTGCAAACGCAGACGTGTACTTATCGGGAGTTCGATTATTTTAAAGTCCCGTGCTCCCATGCTATTGCTGTAGCCAGTTCTCGTAGCATAAATCCGTACACACTATGCGATGAGGCGTACACGGTCAACAGCTGGATGTTGGCRTATGCAGAACCAATATTTCCAGTGGGTTCATCSTCAACATGGAAGAGTTCTCCGGGGTTTGTGAATATCGATGTTCAACCACCGAAGAAGGTCGTTAGGGTTGGACGGCGACAGACGGTGAGGATTCCTTCCACAGGCGAGGTCCGTCCACCGCGCAAGTGCAGTCGATGTGGTACGTCGGGACACAATCGTAAAACTTGTCGCGAACCACTAAATACTGTGTAGCAATATTATGGCTATTTACGTTGTAATATGTAGACATTTATGTACCTCAAACAAAAATTTATTAGGACTAATACATTGTATTTTGGTAGATATGAATAGGTAGCTTCTACCGCAAGTAAGAATCCATGCACATGCATGAACAATAGGTTGTTGTTATTTCATATATGATTACAACTTGTTTTATGTAATGTTACTGTTCATCAGTGACTACAGCTAAAAAAAGGTATGCTAAAACAAATTAAGATAAGTCATATTTAGGTCGGTGGAAAAAAATTCATACAAAGAATAATTACAACTAAAAAAAGGGTCTGCGAGCCCACATTTGTACAGCATATTGACGACGAAATAAACAAATGTTACTTTGAGTCAAAGTGTCCATCTTTGACCCAGTTACATCGTACTCGAAAAATCTAACACAAAATATGCCGCAATATGTGAACCCGGCTTACTGAGGTACAGTAYATCTTCGGACCCTTCATGGCACCGTGGGTAGGTTAGGCCGAAGTGCGAGCATCCCGCTCCAATGAAGAATCACCGGGATTATCGTGCACATTGGCTTGAGCGCCTTCTCGAGATCCTCTAATGGGGTGATCACTTGCAGTGAGTCCCATACGGTTAAATCACCCTCCACAAGATCAATCCCGATCATGACC